AAGTACGAAATTGAAGAGCATTGAAGACACAAAATTCTGAAAGGTTTTTCCAAATACAGCTAATATATCAAATGATGAATCTATTGTTACTTGTGATGTTGAGATTACATGATCCCTTTATGATTTCCGAAAAACCTTCAGCTAATCACATTTGTCTAGTTTCAAAGACGTTAATTCAGCTTAATAATTGAATGCCATGACACTGGCTCGGTCCACCGAATGCCGCCACTAAAACTTCTCTATATTGTGGCCATTATTGTTCGGAATCGCTTCATAGTTGATGATTTCAATTTAACTTCTCACCTTAGATGATAGCCATCCCAGTTGAACTGCAGAATACTACAATCATCAACAGCATTTTGGAATACTGTTTGAACGAATTGACTATTAAAAATATGGATATATCAATGGAATATACACAGTGGTAATTACACCATAATTTACAGCTGTATGATTTACAATGCTGACCTTTGATTTGACCTTTCTTATGTAAAGGTATCTTAAATGCACGTTCAGTCATTGTACTTAACATATGTGTCATTTGATCTACATATTTATTATTCATTAGGAATAGTAGCACTTTTCTGCCTTTTTGCATGTAATAGCAAAGATGAACGACCGACAACAAATCACTAGAGATGTTCGATTGGTATTTAAATTATCAAAATGAATGTTGCACTAGTTTTGAAGAAACATAATGGTAAAGGTATTGTCTGTAATAATAAAAAACGACCATGACATACGCCATGCTTTATCACAGCCAAGTTCAACCAATTAGTAAATAGTACACGGAGACAACCAAAGATTTGAATAAACATAGTCATCACCAACCCCTTACCGGATTTCTGACTTGAGACGGGAACATAAATATAACTAGATTTGAGTATGTCAAAATCTGTCGGAATTACACTAACGAACATTAAAATTTTTTGATAATATAAGAGTGTAAGAGCATGATATATATTTCAATAGATCAAGTACTTTGAACATTCAGTCTGCAGCCATACATAAGGATGTGCTTAGGTCAGGGTTAGGAATTTTTGTCAGATGTTCGGACTCCTTGGTTTTTTTCCTACGATACAGGGTAAAATATTTTGCCCCATAACACCCAATTTTCTTTTCATATTAGACTTCAATAGCTCATAATAGGTCATTTACCAAAATGTAAGCAGATTCTAGATTTCTTTTTTTTCGATTTGAGACTCAAATAATACCAATGCAAATATAAGGTAGAAGTCCGAGTCAGCCTTTTCCCGTTATTTAAAAAAGAAAAAAATCTCGGAAAGGAGCTCCATAACCTATCAATATTTTGAGCTTATTTCGTTCTTTAACTAATGCTCTTCTGACTTATAGTATCAATTTTAAATTCTAGATCTTTTTAACGTCACCTAAGTACATCCTTATGTAATGTTTGACAGTGCGTTATTGTCTCATGTAATAATTTTGTGACAGGATTTATTTGAATGGTGTTATTTTTAATTTCTGAAGAGTTTAAATGTTTTGTAGTCTCGGATATCCAAATGTGTGTTCCTTTGAGGGTTAGTTGATTTCAGTTAACATTTGTAATTTCTCTATTCTGTTTAAATAAAACCCATCAAATGTACCTGGCTAATACTTTTTACCCAGACGCGCGTTTCGCCTACAACAGACTCACCAGTGACGCTCGCTTCAAAAAGTTAAATTGCCAAAAAAATATACAATTGATACTTATCTACTCTGTATACGATATTACCACCAAATTTTATCAAACAGGGAGTATTCCTTTCTAAAAGACGATCCTCCGATAAAAGTTTGTGCACATATATATATTAGTTGCTAAGCTTACTCAGTATTATGACAGTTGGTGTTTTCCATTCGTTCCGTTTGTTGATAACGTTTGATTTTGTTAGTTTTTAAGGACTTCCCCTTTTTTATTTCACCTTGGAGTTCGATATTTTTGTTCCTCTTTTTTTCAGTCATTGCACTTCATTTTTTAATCATAAAACTGTAAATAATATAAAAATTAGATGTGGTATGATCGCCAATGAGACTATTTACCAGAGTTAAATTTGAATGCACTTGGAAATGGAAAAAATACTTAAACATTTTTGTGGGATAATATTTATGTTCGTTTTAGAGATTAAATATAACATCAAGTAGTTATTTCAATTGGAATTTACTATGCTGCTTACATTGCTGATGTTTTGTTTACTGTTGTGCGTCATAAATACACGATGAAAAACTTCTTGATTGTTTGTTGTTGGAAGTAGTCAGCACTTCTGTGTTGACATGAGTTATCATTGATATGGTCATAATTATGAATTAACGGTTTACAAACTTTGCATTTTACGAAATTAATACTAGGGATTTTCTACCCTAGGAATGAAGTACCTTACCTGTATTTGGCAAAACCTTTCGGAAATTTGGTCCCAAATGCTCTTCAACTTCGTACTTTATTTGTCCTTTTTTATTCGAGCATCACTGATGAGACTTTTGTAGACGAAAAGCGCGTTTGGCGTACAAAATTTTAATCCTGGCATATATGATGGATTTATCGCTGACGAGGAGGTTATGTTGGATATGGGCATACATTCTATATTGCACCAGGATACCTATGGGCGAATGAAAGAGTTGTTGCTAGGGTTCTTCAATATGTAGAGATACATGCTCACAGGGAAACAACTTTAAAAACAAATTTAAATGCTAACCGATGTATAGACTCATTGGAGTGTTATTTGGAAAGCAGTTCTGTGAGCGTCCATTGTTGAGGCTGCCACAGCCTAAGCTTGAAAGTTGTTCCATGGTCTTATGGTAGATGGAAAGTTGTTCCATGGTCTTATGGTAGATGGTAAGTTGTTCCATGGTCTTATGGTAGATGCTAAGAACGACCGTTGTTGGCACAGGATCCTGGAATACGGAAGTTGGTATTTTGTGGCATGGTCACTCGTTGCTGAGGTTACCCCTTGTGCTTGAGGTTTTGTTAGGTTCATACAGCCACTACCTGGTGATTTATTCTGTAATGCATGATGACTTTTGCTCTATTTCTTCGCTCTAATGTTGACCATACAAGGTCCTAAAGCATGAATGTGATGCTGCTTGTTGCTTGTTAGAAATTTAGCAAGGGCGTTGTTGTTCTGTTGTCATCCATGGCAATTTAACAGGTGCGTTTCGCGGTAGTTCTATTTGAGCGTTTGATTTTGTCGGGTATTGTATAATGGAGTTGGCTATTATTTTCAAGTCATTTTGGCCATTAAGGATGTATTTAGGTGAAATTAAAAAAATCTAGAATTTAAAATTGATACTATAAGTCAGAAGAGCATTAGTTAAGGAACAAAATAAGCTAAAAATATTGATAGGTTATGGAGCTCTTTATCGAGATATTTAGTTTTTAAAAATTGGCGAGAAATGGCTGACTCGGACTTTTATTTATCTTATATATGAATTGGTATTATTTGGATTTCAAATCGAAAGAAAAGAAATCTAGAATCTGCTTAAATCTTGGTAAATGACATTTCATGAGCTATTAAAGTCTTATATGAAAAGAAAAATGGGTGTTATGGGGCAAAATATTTTACCCTGTATCATAGGAAAAAAAAACAAGGAATCCGAACTTCTGACAAAAATTCCTAAACCTGAAATAAGTACATCCTTAAGCTCTTCAGCTGTTTCGGTTCTTATACATCACATGCTTTCAATTACTAGTATTCGGCTTTGAGAGTTACTTATGAAGATAAATCCAGAAATGAGCTTCGGATGAATGAAACTTATAAAGTGGTTTCATTTTTATAGCACTAGGTCGATACTGCTGCAGGTTGACTATCAGTCCCCGAGGGTATCATTCGCTCAGTAGTCAGTACTTCGGTACTGACATGAGTTACAACAAACCTTTGTAAAATTGTCAGAGTTTAAATTTATAAATTGTTAAGCAACTGAGGTTTCAACTCCCTAAGGCAAAGTTGACCAAGATGGATTTTACTATCATTTTAGATCCCTTAGGTCATATAGCTCTTCAACTGTTTCGGTTCTCATACATCCTTGGCATTCAAATATTCGGCTTCGAACGTTCCTGATGAAAATATATCAATTAAAGAGCTTCGGACGCATGAAATTTATAAAGTGTTGTTTTAATTTTTGCGGATTTCCTCCTTTAAATTCACCTTAGAGTTCGGTATTTTTGTGAATACTTTTTCATCTCTAATTTGCTGTTCATTGATGTCTTTATTAGTTATCGGGTCCAAATCCACGTGAAGGATGCAGGATATATAAGCGGGATGGTGAGATACTTTTGACTTATGTATGATTCTTTTGCCATTAGAAGAATACTGTTGAAATTGTAAAATGTTCGTGACATTAGTTGCATGTGGTTCGTATAGGTATGATATGGTTGACATTGGAAGAGTTAGGTTGACATTGGTAGAATGATAGTGGTATTAGAATGGTACTGTTGAAATTGAAAGGAGGCTATTGACATTAGCAGGATGGTGTTGATATTGTTAGGAGATTGTTGACATTGACAGGATGGTGTTGATAGTAATAGGAGGTTGTTGACATTAACAGGATGGTGTTGATAGTAATAGGAGGTTGTTGACATTAGTAGGATGTGGTTGGCATTGTTCGGAGATTGTTGACAGTTGTAAGATGCGGTTGACATGATTAGGATACGGTTGACATTAGAATTGTGTTGAAATTAGTAGGATGCAGTTGATATTGGTAGGATGATAGTGGCATTAGCTGCATGTGGATAACATTGATAGTATACTGTTGACATTGGTAGGGTCTGGTTGACATTAGTAAGATATGGATGACATAAGAAGTATGTTGTTCACAAAGGTATTAGGTTGTTTCCATTAGTGGAATGTCGACATAAGTAGGATGAGGTTGCAATTGATAAGATGAAATTAGTAGAATATTGTGGACATTCTTAGGATGAGATTGACCTTTATTATGATGTGGTCGACATTGGTAGGATAGAGGTTTCTGATTATTACCCCATTATAAATTAATATAAGAACAAAAATAAATTTGATAAACATTTGTAATCACTAAAATTGCACCATGGCATGGTAACAACTTAAAAAGCATCCCATACAATGAACAGGCTCTCCTGAAATGAACACAACATTGAAAAGAAACAATAAATATGTCTGTAACAATATATAAAAAATTATTAAGTGAAAACTTGTGAGACTTGCAGAGGTTTATCTTTGAATATAAGTCTCTCAGGAAATTACATTGATATTCTAATGAAATGTACATATAAATAAGCCAGAAATGTTCCTATCTCATAGGAAATCCAACTGATCACTATCCCATAATACATTAATATGATAATCAGTATGATAAATGACTAGAAAGAACAAAAAAAGTTTCATTTTTAAGCATAAAACAGAAATTAAATCTCTGACCTTGTCAATCATGTTGATGTTTTAGATTTCATGTAAATGATGTCTCAACCAATAATAAACTTTAACCCTCTCCAAAAGAAAAGAAAAGAAAAGAAAAACAAACAAACAAACAAACAAACAAACAAACAAACAAACAAAACAGTGATTTTCCCACTACAATAAATTGTTCCATTTGACAAAATATGCAAACATCTGTAATTTTTTCTAATTCATGGTTGCAGACTTTGTACATATATAAAAAAATCAGTTTGCTTGGCAAACAAATTAGTCCTTTTTGACTTACCACATAGTCCATATATAATATATTATGGATAATAGAAAAGTAAAAATATATGCAGAAAGGGGTAGATTAATTCAGAGTTTGTAACATAGGAGAGGAAATACATGTTAATTTAAAAATGGAATAACCCCATTATTGCTACATAAATAATACATGTAATAATTATCAAAATGACATGAGTTGTTGTAATAAGCATACCCCCACTTGTCATTCAAAGTATCGGAAAACAAGAAGTAGAGGTCTGACTGATCTGAAAAGTGCTCAAACTTTAAAACTCATCACATTCAATTTTCAAACACAATATGAAGTCATTCTGCTCAAAAGAAAAGTGTAACACATTTTTAATATAAGTTCTTTCTAAACATAGAAAAATTCGAAGAATCGACAAAAAGGAAGAAAGTGCCTGGCAGATCCGAAATATTCAACTTCTTAATGTCCCTGACCAAAGATTAAGCCATTCTGTTCAGTAGTACCTGAGAAAAGTGTGACAGACATATTTGTTAGACTAAGGTCCAGACAAAAATACAGAGAGTCAAATGGACAAACAGACAGACTGAAATATGGACAAGGTGAATGCAATATAAACTCATAGAGTGGGGTATTATACACTTTTAAGTTCATATTCAATTGTAATATTACTAAGAAAAGACTTTTTCTTTCTATTTCAGAAACTTTGAATGCATTTTCTGACCAATTATAGCAGATTGTCCAGTCCAAAATTATAATGCACACCTTTTCTTGATACTGTACAGAAGATATACATGATATAAAAACATATAAAATACATAATTTCATAAATGGGAACTTCAAAATCATATTAAATTTTACACAACTAATATAACACAAAAATAATCAATAATGACATAACATGCATAATATTTAAAAAAAACAGATAGAAGAATATCATAACTATTAGACAACAGTCTCAACACTAGGACCTCTCAAATAACATCCCTCTATAAATAGACCACTCTATAAATAGACCATCTATAAATAGACCATCCTATAAATAGACCATCCTCTTACATAAGATCCTTTTACAGGCATGTGTATGCACATCAAAATTAAATGTTCTATCTTAAATACTCCACCACCAAATGTTAAAACCCTCACAAAAGCTACCCTTTCAATAGCATTATTAAACTGATGTCATTCAAATTAATTCTGTTTCCAGAACCTTAAGTGTTGTAATTGTCAATTAGACACCAAATCTGTCCAATGAATAAATAAGACAGAAACCCAACAACACATTTTGAGGAATTAGATGTTCATTGATTAAAGATCATTAGATTTATGAATTGATTGTTGGTTGCTTAATGTCAAGTCAAGGCAAGATAATAAGCAGTCTCTTAAATTTATCAATATTGGTGCTGTTGGGTTGCTGTTAAATTCTTCAAGGCAGACAACATTAACCATGGAAAATAATTAAACCATAAAACAGTAAGTTTCAGGTTTTTTTTTGTGTAAAGAGTATTTTAAAATGCACTGAACTATCAATAATTTATAAATGATACTCCTATCACTTCTCTTCAGTTAAAACAGCTACATTGTACCATAAAACATTAATTTGAATGATCTTTAAACCAAAGTGATCTATACAAACACAAACAGGTAATTAGGGACGACATTGTTTATCAGACATTTCCTCTTTTCTCTATCCAAACATGCCAAATTCCAAAGTATAATATCCTTTCCTGGTAAATGAATATGAAGGTATAACAATGCTATAACTATGTATGTGAATTTTGTTACACATGTCTTATTCTGGAAAATGACAAAATCACCTTATAAGAGTCAAAACTGATCATGCTCCCAAATTCATAAAAAAAGGTTAATATCAATATCAACAATGGTATCCTTTTTCAAGATACAGACTTTAGAAAGTTCATTTTTAGAAAGAAACCTTGCTAGTATAAAAGAAAAACTATTGGGACAGTATATTTTAGTCCCAAAAAAATAGGTTATTGTTGCTTTTCATAACGTAATTTGTACTTATCTTCTTTGAGCACTTAAAAAACATATGTCTCATCACAGCGTAGAAAAGACTACTCAGTTCCGTTAAGACTAAGGAAAATATTATATTTTGCCTTTGGTATATAAATGCAGAGAGGACAAAGTATCTAGCAATAAAAAATAACAGCTGCACACAACAACCAATCAGGATTAACCATACTCTTAATTCTGAATACCATGTTATCTTCATAAAATGGCTGCACCCATAATATCTAATGGTTGATTGTTACCTTAATATGTATTTCAAACCCATTATGTGTTTATCTATATTATCTTAGAAATAATTCAAATTTGGATTGGGAAAGCAAACGAGAAAAAATAATGCCAAGTATGTTCACCATTGCTCAACCAACAAACTTGAATAATAACTAAAGTCTATACCGTGCATATAATTACTATATGGAAGCTTTGTTTTAAATAATAAAAAGATACCAAACTGGAATTTAATGGTGAGCTGCCTGGGAAACTATCATCATTTTCTTTGTGATGTTTTTCAGATTTAGCAAAACAGTAACATTACCAAGCATTTATCTTAAATCACTAAGAAATACACAACCATTTCTTAAACATGTGAACAGTTCTCAGCTTCTTAATATCGGCTGAATTGCAGTTTTTATCATCCTTCAAATCTCCAATATCTTCCATGACTCCTTTCTTCATATAAACATAACAATAACTCCATATTCAAATTCTCTTCACCTTTATTCAGTTTTGACGTCTTTTCTTTTTGCACAGAGAACAACAACAAGGGAGACAATAAATGCTATTACAGCCAGGACAATCGCTATTATTATCAGGAACTGGTTCCTCTTTGGACTGTTCATTTTCTCCTACAAAAAAAGTTTGTAGATAGGAACACTACAGTGGATTCATTATTCTTCATGGGAGACAACTCTCCACCAGAAACAAAATGATATAGAAATTAACAACTATAGGTTACGTAAGGCCTTCAACAGTGAGAAAAACCCATACCGTATAGGCAGCAATAAAAGGCCACAAAATGACAGATGTAAAACAAATCAAACGAGAAAACTAACAACCTGATTTATGTACAAAACAATAAACAAATAACAAATATGATATACCATGGATACCCATTTTTATGGATTTTGTGGGTATATGTAAACAATGATTGCAAATGTTAAAGGAAGTACAATTTTTCTATTTGCTTGTAAGTAGACTTTGGTAAAACAACAAAATCAAATAATTATGAAAACATTATATTTCCTTGAACCATTACCCACAAAAATAAAAGATTGAACGTTTCTTGTGGTACTAATATTTTATGGATATTTAGGGTATTGCCGAACCAGGAATTAGATTGTTTAGCAAAATACAAATTAACAACAGGCTTGTTTTGTAGCATTTTTCAAAACCATTAAAAAACAAATATCCACAAAATACAAAATCCAAGAAAATTAATGCCTATGAATTAAAAGTATGAGACAAGATAATGTCAGTCAAAAAAGGCAGCCTCATAACTATATTGTTGAAAAAACGTTACAAAATTCTGAGCAAAAAGTTTTTCACAGGTTGTATAGACATGCAATCTAAAGAGTGATTGAAAAACCCATCTGAATCAAACAAGCAGAGAAAAATCTGTTGGGAGAATGGAGTTGTTGACTGCACCACTACAAAAAATTATATTTACCTTCAAACTCATGGCTATTGATTCTGTCAGTTTCTCACTGTAAAATAAAACAGACATGGTTAAAACACAGTGCAGATTCAGGGAAGTAAAGAGCGCATACACGCCTCCACCCTTTTATTGGAAAAGATATAATTAAATTGTCCAAAATATATTTAATATATATTCCTTTTTCGTTTCAGGAATTACACCCCTCTTTTAAAAATGCTGCATCCATCCCTAAAACAAATAAGATATGTCAGCTCTTGAGATGTTACATTATATAAAGCATCGTAACTATTGTATTGGCTGAATGTTGTTTTAATGTCCGATGATTAAAATAATCTATCCAAACAACGGGGAATAACTTCTTGCTATGCTAGGATTCTAGAAAAAGTAAACATATATATTACACCTTCTTTATCTTTAAGAGATGATGGGAAGATCTTTTAAATCGCTGTTAAATTAATTATCAGGGGTGGATCCAGCCATTTTTAAAAGGAGTGGTTCAAACCATATGTCCCCTTTCAAAAGTATTGATAGTAAAAAAAAAGGGGGGTTCCGACAAGATGTCTTCTGTTTTTCTTTGTGAATGTCTTGCTGTATCATTGATGTTCAAACCATATCTCTTTAAATTCTGTTTATTCAAATATTTGAGATTAAGGGATCCTTTATTGTAACCAGGGTTACAAAATAAATGCCATGGAACTTGACTTTTATATTTTCATAACAACTGAACAAAAGCACAGTGATTTAGACATTCCTTTATAGTGATTAACACATTCCATGTAGAAGCCATGGTGACAAATTGAATAAAACAAGAATGTGCCCATAGTACATGGATGCCCCACTCGCACTATCATTTTCTATGTTCAGTGGACCGTGAAATTGGGTTCAAAACTCTAAAAAATTAGAAAGATCATATCATAGGGAACATGTGTACTAACTTTCAAGCTGATTGGACTTCAACTTCATCAAAAACTACCTTGACCAAAAACTTTAACCTGAAGCAGGACAGACGGACTGATGGATGGACGGACGGATAGACGAACTGACGAATAGACGCACAGACCAAAAAACATAATGCCCCTAGGTGGGGCATAAAAACAAGTAAGCAGCTGTTCATCATGAATTTTGACAGAGATTTTATATGGTAATCATGGTGACAAGATAAAGATACTTTACATTTATATGGGTATACTAGAATCTTTTTACAAATTTTTATGCCTGCTGGTTTAATATATACAATCAGAGATTTTGTTTGGTCACAATGGTGACTAGATAATCATACTTACAAGTAAGTTGGTATACTAGGAACTTTGACAGCCTTCACATTTTTATACCAGCTGGTGGCAAACAATTTTAGAGATTTGATATCATAACCATGGTGACTAGATAATCATACTTACAAGTATGTAGGTATACTAGGAACTTTGACAGCCTTCACATTTTTGTACCAGCTGGTGGCAAACAATCTTAAAGATTTGATATCATAGTGGTTTTTGTCATCAGAAAAATACAGGTACATTTTGCCTTGTCTGAAACTAGATAACAAACTATCCATTAAGTAAATAAATCAAACTTAATCATTTTTAAGGTTGAAAACCGTAATGCCCAAACTAAAATATATTTGAAAAAAAAACGGATTAATTCAAGTTGATAGAAAGTCAATCATCTTCTTCTAAAGTATTGGTTAAATAATAAAAGAAGAATGTGTCTGAGGGCATGACACTGCTAGTTTTAAACGAGGCAAACTTAACTTGATTGTGGAAATGAATAAAATTGTAATTTTCCAAGTTATAAAGGGGCATAACTCTAGAATGGTAAGTGACTCACTGACTTAATTCTAACTCTATCTGCAAGTTTTGGTTCTTGGCATTGTGTATGAGTTTCATAAAATTTGCATGATGGCAAACTTAAGTGAGAATGTGTAAACGAAAAAATTTGCAATTTTCCAAGTTATAAAGGGCCATAACTCTAGAATGGTAAGTGACTCACTGCTTTAATTCGAAATCTGTCTGAGAGTTTTGGTTTTTAGTATTTCATAACTTTTGGATGAGGAAAACTTAAGTTCTGAGTGCGGAAACGAACATGGGAGGGATGCAAGGACAGACCGGCTAACAGTAAATGGTAACACTTAATGCCCCCTTAGCCCTTTGGCAGGGCAAGAAAAACTTTTTTGCATCAGAAAACTAACCTTTTTTTCATTTCAGTTAAGCTTTAAAAGTATGTACGTTATCTTCAATTCCTTGAGCTGGGATATTCTCAATATGATGTTCTACTTTCCTGAAATGCTTTCACATTATCTTTTTCACTATCAAGTTAACCAAAAAGAGCTATTTCCCCTTGTCTCATATTGAAAAATCACAATGAAATTCCCTGGAAATTTGGTTATTTGCATCCAACAGCTGTTACATTTTAATCATTTGGTCCACTCATTTTTAAACATTCCAAATGCTTAAGTTCAGTCAATTCTTTACAATACCAACATGTGCAAATATAAAAACATGCATTCATTATTTTAGTATTTTCTTTTACAAAATTTTGCAAATACATTTATTAGATCTCACATTTTTATATATAATCAGTGATTCACAATAATAGATGCACACATTAATTTCTGATTTAACAGTAAATTAGCAGGTGCCCTTTTACAAAGGTTTTATTTTTGTTTATAATTAAAACTCCCCTGTACTCACAAATAAGTAGTAGGACACTCCTTGATACCAAATCTTGTGGCTAGTACTGGGTTTATATCTGTATCAACTTTAGCTACATTCATTCTTTGTTTTAATCTGAAAGATATTTTATATAAATAAGCTTCAAAGATGAGGGTTATCACTTTATTTCAGTTAATTCTACAATTACAATCTATTTTTATTTTTGCAAGTGAATATTATAAGGTTATTGCAACTATAAGCACTGTAATTACTCAATATCTGAAATATTCTGCTGATATGGTAAGATAAAAGAAGAATGTGTCCATGGAGACAGATGCCCTCGCTTGTAAAGATGCAAGAGTCAATGTTCTTATTCAAACCTATTGATGTTTTTAATATGGAAACGGCAAATTCAGCATTTTTTCCATTTATAAGGGACACAACTCTAGAATGGTTAAATTGACGATACCCATATTCAATCTTGATCTTTGTTTGGTGGTTATAAACACTTTTTAAGTTGCATAGCATTTGGTTGAGGCAAACTAAAGATAAATAATGGAAACTAGTTTTGGGACTTACATACGTACAGACGGACAAGCATAAACATTAGGCAACGGGGGCATATAAACCAAGGTAATTTGAATACCATGCATTGCTCATGAGAAATATTGTTGGCATAGAGACATATGTTATTTTCAATCATGATAGTAGTGTAATGCCAATATTGAAATTTAAGACAAAACAGTAACATGTTAGCAATGCAAAAATGAAAAATGGACAAAACTGAGAATACATGGCAAAAAAAAAAAAAATCCTTTATAGAGTAAAACAAGTTAAATTGAAATCCCCAATGCTAATCCCTAATCATAATCCTTAATGATACTCCCTAATGACACTCCCTAAATGATAATCCCTAATGATACTCCCTAATGCTAATCCCTAATGATAATCCCTAATGATACTCCCTAATGATACTCCCTAATGATACTCCCTAAATGATAATCCCTAATGATACTCCCTAATGATACTCCCTAATGATACTCCCTAATGATAATCCCTAAATGATAGTCCCTAAATGATAATCCCTAATGATACTCCCTAATGATACTCCCTAATGATAGTCCCTAAATGATAATCCCTAATGATACTCCCTAATGATACTCCCTAAATGATAATCCCTAAATGATAATCCCTAATGATACTCCCTAATGATACTCCCTAAATGAAACTCCCTAATGATACTCCCTACATGATACTCCCTAAATGATAATCCCTAATGATACTCCCTAATGATACTCCCTAAATGATAATCCCTAATGATACTCCCTAATGATACTCCCTAAATGATAATCCCTAATGATACTCCCTAATGATACTCCCTAAATGATAATCCCTAATGATAATCCCTAATGATACTCCCTAATGATAATCCCTAATGCTAGTCCCTAAATGATAATCCCTAATGTTACTCCCCAATGATAATCCCTAATGATACTCCCTAATGATACTGCCTAATGATAATCCCTAATGATACTCCCTAATGATACTACCTAATGATACTCCCTAATGATAATCCCTAAATGATACTCCCTAATGATAATCCCTAATGATAGTCCCTAAATGATACTCCCTAATGATACTCCCTAATGATACTCCCTAAATGATAATCCCTAATGATACTCCCTAAATGATAATCCCTAATGATACTCCCTAATGATACTCCCTAAATGATAATCCCTAATGATAATCCCTAATGATACTCCCTAATGATACTCCCTAATGATAATCCCTAAATGATAATCTCTAATGATACTCCCTAAATGATAATTCCTAATGATACTCCCTAATGATACTCCCTAAATGAAAATCCCTAAATGATAATCCCTAATGATACTCCCTAATGATAATCCCTAATGATAATCCCTAATGATAGTCCCTAAATGATAATCCCTAATGATACTCCCTAATGATAATTCCTAATGATACTCCCTAATGATACTCCCTAAATGATAACCCCTAATGATACTCCCTCATGATTATTCTTGACTTACTCTATGGCTGCTCCTTCTATTGCAGACAGGTAGCTCTGACAAGCTGAATTGTAACTGGAAAATAAATAAATACAATTACATTACATTTTGGTATCTGAACATAATTTGTTCTCTATAGTAATACATGTGTAGTAGCACTCTTGGTTGGTTAGTATAGAGTCATACGACATACTTCTCAAATCAATACATATACATATTTTGTTCTTTATAAAATTGAGAATAAAAGCGGGGAATGTGTCAAAGAGATAGCAACCCGACCAAAGAGCAGAGAACAGCCCAAGGCCACCAATGGGTAGTAATAGCAGCACTCTTAATTGGTTGGTATAGAGTCAAACAACATACTTCTCAAATCAATAAGATTACAACAATATGAACATATTTTTTTTCCATAGTAATAGCATCACTCTTGATTGGTTGGTGTAGAGTCATATGACATACTTCTCAAACCAATAGGATTACAACAGTATGAACATATTTGTTTCTCTATAGTAATAGCAGCACTCTTGATTGGTTGATGTAGAGTCATATGACATACTTCTCAAATCAATAAGATTACAACAATATGAACATATTTTTTCTCTTTAGTAATAGCAACACTCTTGAGTGGTTGGTGTAGAGTCATATGACATACAACACCAGGGATGTTTCATCTTTCTAGTTCATTCTGGGTAATATTAAAGCAAGAGTGCACACGCTGAAATGTCTCGCCTTCTTTACTAACCATTGATTGTATGTTGATAGTCCTAAATATAAAGCTTTACTACAAGTAACACATAAACTTAACATGATCCAAGAAAATGAGGTCAAGTCAAGGTCAGATAAACCAAACGAGAAATACATGTACACATTACAATCATTCAATAATCCAAACATACTTGACCTATTGCTTATAGTTTCTAAGAAACAGTCTTAACCAAGAAAACTTAACATTGACCAATGAACCATGAAAATGAGGTCAAGGTCAGATGAACCATGCCAGACAGACATGTACACCGTACTATCAATTTATGCATTAAATATAGTTGACCTATTGCTTATAGTATCTAAGAAACAAACTTAACCATGAAAACTTAACATTGACCAATGAACCATGAAAATGAGGTCAAGGTCAGATGATACCTGCCAGACAGACATATACACCTTACAATCCTTCCATACAACAAATATAGTTGATTATAGTTGAAGAAAAACAGACCAAAACACAAAAATTTAACACTGAGAAATGAACCGTGAAAATGAGGTCAAGGTCAAATAAAAACTGCGAGACTGACATGTACATCATAAAATATTTCCATACACCAAATATAGTTGACCTATTGCATATAGTATTAGAAAAAAAGACCAAAACTCAAAAACTTAACTTTGACTACCGAACCATGAAAATGAGGTCAAGGTCAGATGACACCTACCAGTTGGACATGTACACCTTACAATCATTCCATATACCAAATATAGTAGACCTACTGCTTATAGTATCTGATATATGGACTTGACCACGAAAACTTAACCTTGTTCACTGATCCATGAAATGAGGTCGAGGTCAAATGAAAATTGTCTGACGGGCATGAGGACCTTGCAAGGTATGCACATACTAAATATAGTTATCCTATTACTCATAATAAGAAAGAAATTAACATTACAAAAAATGTGGACTTTTTTTTCAAGTAGTCACTGAACCATGAAAATGAGGTCAAGGACAAAGGATGTATGACAGATGGAAACTTCGTAACATAAGGCATCTATATACAAAGTATGAAGCCTCCAGGTCTTCTAGCTTCTAAAAAATGAAGCTTTTAAGAAGTAAGCTAACGCCACCGCCGCCGGATCACTATCCCTATGTCAAGCTTTCTGCGACAAAAACCAGCAAAATGTTGACTGATTTACAATGTCATAAACAATGAATATCAAACAACAGAAAAATGTTGACTGATTTACAATGTCATAAGCAATGAATATCAAACAACAGATAAATGTTGACTGATATACAATGTCATAAACAATGAATATCAAACAACAGATTGATTGATTGATTGTTGGTTGCTTAACGTCCAGTGGCAAATATTTCATGCATGTTCAGGACGAGTACAAATAAACAATAAATACAATAGGTAGGTCCTGTTAAAGAGGCCGTCAGGGATGAAGGTCGGGCAAATTTAGACTGCCACTGGAAAATGAGGGAAAATTGGATAAAGACAGAAATTTTGCCTTGCAACAGGCCACCTACGGACCCCTCCAAGAGTTGTTGCAAGGGTTCTTAACGTACAGAGAGTGTGGCACTCTCTCTACACGAGACATTGGATTTAACGTCCCCATTCTGACAGGACTTGGCTGCCTACTTGATACATCCCGCACAGCCAAACGGACACCCCACTTTGGCAAGGGTATTACTGCTGGTTGGAAGAAGACCTGTAGTGACCATATTTCTATTCCCCAGTCACCCTTGGGGGTTCAAACAACAGAAAAATGTTGACTGATTTACAATGTCATAAACAATGAATTATGATCAAACAACAGAAAAATTTTGACTAATTTACAATGTCATAAACAATGAATATCAAACAGCATAAAAATGTTGACTGATTTATAATGTCATAAACAATGAATATCAAACAACAGAAAATGTCAACTGTTTTACAATGTCATAAACAATGAATATCAAACAACAGAAAAATGTTGACTGATTTACAATGTCATAAACAATGAATATCAAACAACAGAAAAATGTTGACTGATTTATGATGTCCTAAAGAATGAATATCAAACAACAGAAAAATGTTGACTGATTTATAATGTCCTAAAGAATGAATATCAAACAACAGAAAAATGTTGAATTTACCCACAAGTCTTTATATTCTGGTCTAAATTGGTAACAGCTTTTTTAAAAGTGAACTGATAAGGAATGACCAATAAGGAAAGACCAATAAGGAATGACCAATAAGGAATGACCAATAAGGAATGACCAATAAGGAATGACCAATAAGGAAAGACAAGAAGTAGGCTACTACTGACTAAATAATGAAGATAACAACACTGACTGACCCCTTGGATAGAGAGATATGGTAATATAAAGAAGAAAATATTAACTTTAACTGACAGAGTCCATTCAATAATTGGTTTTAAATATCGCAATGGTTAAACTCATAAAATCCAAGAAGAAATTAAGCAGTGGTAAACTGATTAGAGATCCATTTTGATTTTATTGAGAGTTACATCCCTTGATTTATTTTCTTCACTTTCAGCCATTGTTCTGAAATTTTTCACAACATAAAAGATGCAAAAAGACCATCATACAACACTTACAATATAACAAGCCAGTCCCATGTTGTAGCCCAAGTAGACAATCATAAAGTACTTACAATATAACAAGCCAGTCCCCTGTTGTAGCCCCAGCAGACCATCATAAAACTCTTACAATATAACAAGCCAGTCCCCTGTTGTAGCCCCAGCAGACCATCATAAAACATTTACAATATAACAAGCCAGTCCCCTGTTGTAGCCCCAGTAGACCATAATAAAACATTTACAATATAACAAGCCAGTCCCCTGTTGTAGCCCCAGCAGACCATCATAAAACTCTTACAATATAACAAGCCAGTCCCCTGTTGTAGCCCCAGCAGACCATCATAAAACTCTTTATACAATATAACAAGCCAGTCTCCTGTTGTAGCCCCAGTAGACCATCATAAAACTCTTACAATATAACAAGCCAGTCCCCTGTTGTAGCCCCAGCAGACCATCATAAAACTCTTACAATATAACAAGCCAGTCCCCTGTTGTAGCCCCAGCAGACCATCATAAAACTCTTACAATATAACAAGCCAGTCCCCTGTTGTAGCCCCAGTAGACCATCATAAAACACTTACAATATAACAAGCCAGTCTCTTGTTGCAGCCCTAGATGACCATCACAAACCACTTACAATATAACAAGCCAGTCCCCTGTTGTAGCCCCAGCAGACCATCATAAAACTCTTACAATATAACAAGCCAGTCCCCTGTTGTAGCCCCAGTAGACCATCATAAAACACTTACAATATAACAAGCCAGTCTCCTGTTGCAGCCCCAGTAGACCATCATACAATACTTACAATATAACAAGCCAGTCCCCTGTTGAAGCCCCAGCAGACCATCATAAAACACTTACAATATAACAAGCCAGTCCCCTGTTGTAGCCCCAGTAGACCATCATAAAACTCTTACAATATAACAAGCCAGTCCCCTGTTGTAGCCCAAGTAGACCATCATAAAACACTTACAATATAAAAAGCCAGTCTCTTGTTGCAGCCCTAGATGACCATCACAAACCACTTACATTATAACAAGCCAGTCTCTTGTTGCAGCCCCAGTTGACCATCATAAAAACACTTCCAATATAACAAGCCAGTCTCCTGTTGTAGCCCAGTAGACCATCATAAAACATTTACAATATAACAAGCCAGTCCCCTGTTGTAGCCCCAGTAGACCACCATACAATACTTACAATATAACAAGCCAGTCCCCTATTGTAGCCCCAGTAGACCATCATAAATTACTTACAATATATCATTTCAGTCCCCTGTTGTAGCCCCAGTAGACCATCATAAAATACTTACAATATATCAAGTAAGTCCCCTGTTGTAGCCCTAGTAGACCATAATAAAACACTTACAATATAACAAGCCAGTCCCCTGTTGTAGCACCAGTAGAAGCCTGTGTCAGATGCTCAAATGAGTCCTCATACAGGGTCTGTGTGGCAATAGTTTTAGCATTATCCAACCAGACTGTTACATCTTCCCACAGTATAACTCTTGTGTCCTCAGGAACTAAAATAATACAATGTATTCAAGGATGTGTGAAAATATACTTGTTCTTTTGTAACATTCATTTCTAGCCATGCATTTCATTAATTTCAAATGGAAAAATTTGAGACAATTTTCCCCCAAAATTCTTTTTTTTTTTATTTATTTATAATCAATGCAAGTTTTTTTGTAAATCTATTTTTACTCTTTTGACACTTACAACCATGTCACATTTAAATGTGTCTGAACCAAGTAAGGAACCTCCTATATCTCACATCTTCGCTAGCCAATGGTTACTATCCAGTCCCCTCCTCTCCACCCTTGGCGGATTAAAATAGAATTTCGGATCCAAGAGGTAATGATATTCATTGGTCGCAGTTGTAACTGGCTGCATCCAATCAAAAAGCACCTTTAAGATGATCACGTACAAATGTAGAAAATGTAAATAACCAATTGCCACGTGCTGATTGTGCAACAAGTCTTTACCCCCAAAACATAGGACAATATTTAGTGACAATTTTAAAGTTCTTAACCAACTAATTGGAGTTCCTTGGTATGTTTCTAGTGCAAATGTTGGAATGTCAACGTATATTTTCGGTTTCTGCTTCACGAAATTTGTAAAAACTAGACACAATCATTTTTACACCTCCACACTGAAGACAGTTCAAGTGCTGCCATTGGTTAAGAATGATGTAGTCGGAATGGGTATGACTTTTATCTACCGTAGATGGCGCAGCATTGTAATCACAAATGTTGGCTTAATCTGTCAAGGGTTTAGAGGAGGGGACTTGATCGTAACCCTTGGCTAGCAAAGATGATATCTCAATGTTTTTCTCAATGAACAATATTTGGTAATGATGGCAGATCTTTTACAGTTTCCTGCTGTTCACATCTTGTCTAAAATCACCAGTACTTTTACAGCTTGATATGTGGCTGTTTCATTGAAAAGCTGCCTGTGTCAACACAACTGTCTCACTACTTAAATCATGTTAATGATGGAGTTCACACGATTCCCATTGGTTTATATTTGGTTTGTATATGTATTCAAAATGGATTTACAAGATTTGAACATCTGTGAACTACTTTTTGTCTTTTATTCATTAATATATAAGCCAGATAACTCCGACTCATAACCTACTTTCATACAATACTGGACTGGCCTTTCTAAAGAATATAAGTTGTGGGATTGTATGTACACCATACTTAACTGCAGTACCAGGATCGTCACATTTCACTTTTACTATATCTGTAATAGAAGAAAAAAATTCAGGGATGTAACTTTCTAAGGTTGCAGTAAGTAACCACTACTAAAAAGGGCTGTACTAGGGTCGCCACATTTCACTTTTACTATATCTGTAATAGAATAAAAAACATTCAGATGTGTCACATTCTAACTAAGGTTGCAGTAAGTAACCACTGCAAAAAAGGCCTGTACTAGAATCATCACAGTTAACTTTTACTGCATCTGCGTGAACACAGAAATAACTGCATTTCATTGTCTTATTATTGCTGATCTTGATTGTCTCCCTTAAAAAAAGTTCAAAATTTGGAGACAACACATTTTTATTATACATTTTCACAAAATTTTGTTTTATGGTTGTTTTTATGATCACGTTTATACCATTGGGACTAGAGGTCAAAATGATGAAGTGACTAGTTGGTAGGTATGATGTTGACTTGACTTTTTTTATCTTTGGTTATTTCTGTCTCATTGACTTATACAATTTATTCACAATACATGTAATATGAGGGACTGGAATAACAACAACACCCAAAGATTAATTAAGGTGGTACCTAACACTACAGGGAGATAACTCTTTAAAATCAGCTAAACGTTTTAATTACGTTGTATTGTTAAGGAAATATTAAGCTTCTCAATGATTAAAATTAGTGTTTGTCAAACTGCTATATATCCAATGAAATTTTTCCGAGAAAGTGATAGGTTCAAGTTCTTTGAAATTTTTATATTTTTTTCAAAGGGTCAAAGTAAGTATTTTGTAAACATTTTATGAAAATTAAACGAGCCAAATTAATTTTAGTCAAGGTGTTGGGTACCACCTTAAATTATATAAATAGGATAAACAAAACTACAGGTCCATAGGACACCATGGGGCCCCTCTAATACTATCTTGGATAAACAAAACTACAGGTCCATAGGACACCATGCCCCTCTAATACTATCTTGGATAAACAAAGATACAGGTCCATAGGACACCATGCCCCTCTAATACTATCTTGGATAAACAAAACTACAGGTCCATAGGACACCATGCCCCTCTAATACTATCTTGGATAAACAAAACTACAGGTCCATAGGACACCATGCCCCTCTAATACTATCTTGGATAAACAAAACTACAGGTCCATAGGACACCATGCCCCTCTAATACTATCTTACTTTACTGTTCATTGAACCATGAAATGTTGGACAAATTCCTCAAAACCCAAACCTAAACCTAATTCAGGATGGACGGATTGAGGGACCAACAGACAGACAGACAGACAGAAGCACAGATTGGTAAAACATCATTGCCTTTACTATCATATCCAGAGTATAAAAATAAATTGCAGTAAATTATATTTGATGATTTGTTCCTGGCTTCGTGGAAATGACACTGTCACAAGTATATTTATCATAAATTAATTTCCATTTCTTATGTATAAGACCAGGGTACAGTTATTTTGTTTGAAAGACAAAACAGAAAGACAAATATTCTTACTGTGACCATAATTGCTAACATCCATGTCATAAATAGTTTTCTCATTGTCAATCATACCACATCTTCTTATTTCAAATTATGTATATATAATATAACTTACCCTGACCAGTCTCATTGTCAATCATACCACATTTCCTTATTTCATATTATGTATCATATAACTAACCCTGACCAGACATTTCTAATGTATGTATCATATAACATACCCTGATCAAACATTTCTGGTGTTTGTACTTTTTCTATTTCTTTTTCAGCATCAGCACATCTTGTACAAGTATCTGTATCATAATCTGAAAAAAAAGATTGAATTCATAAGACAGAGTAACAGGTAGATCACTAGACTTAAAGTCATTACTTTATATTCAGCAGCAAGCCTGGAACTTCTATAGATTGATTGGTACTCCGGCCCGTAGCAAGGAATTTCAAGGGGGGTTGTTACATCGACTCGCAACAAACAAACTTCGGCCTGGTATTTAACACCACTTTCAGCACTATTAGCTTTTTCTTGGCAGTCAGTTTTTATTTGTGGATGAAGCTAAAGTGACCACAGAGAACCACTGTCCTTTGGCATGAAAAACTGACAATCCTAGTCAATTAAGATTGGAGTTGAGTGCACCTGCCATGTGCAAGATAGTGTTGACAGGCTAGTGATACAGTAGTTTAACTACTTAGACCCCTTGGTCAAAGGGCCCTGAAACCTACTATGACATCAGAGATTTATTAAGAAATAAAGTGTCCAAAACTAGATGATATCAGACACCTGAGGGTAAGTTTTTCTGTCTCTTAAAATGCTACTTAGAAATAATAAGAATTTGGCCTTACTGTCATAAAAATTTCAGGTACCATTATCGTGCACAAATTTTGTACTCTGAGTACTGAGTAAAGTTTTATGACCGAGAACCCTGACCTCAGGATGTTTGAGATTTTAAAGTCTTGATTGTTTTTTTGTTTTTTTTCACCTTTAAAAAACAATAATATATGATTTCAAAGAGGCCACAGATTCAAAAAGTTAAAATCTCATGGAAAAAAGGCATGTACACTGTCTCGTTCTGATATTTGGCTGAGACAGAAATCTTTCAGTCCACAGCAAAAGATAATTACAGACCAGGCAATGACGGGGGTAAGAAAAATAGTAAAAAACAAATATTGATGGTGAGAAAAATTATTGTTGAAAACTCCATACTTCATGGCCACAGATAATGCTGGAAGAATAATAGAAATCAACGTGACCATAGAAAAAAAAATAACTATACAATCAACAGTTTACTACAGTTTACTGCATGTAGAAAACTAAAGATAGAGCAGTACAAACCATGCCATAAACCAAAAGGGAGAAGAAATAAAGTTCATAATAAACAAAACCAAAGTTTACTGCATGCAGAAAACTAAAGATAGAGCAGTACAAACCCTACCAAAAACCAAAAGGGAGAACAATTAAAGTTCATAATAAACAAAACCAAACACAATTTTTTATTCTATCCATAAAGCACTTTAACCATGTACATACTTGACAATGAAGAACAAATGTAAATCATGACTGTCTCAAGTGACCAACACTAGTCTACTAACTAAACATATTAACAATTTTGTTTTTAGTCAGTTTTAATCATACTGGCCAGAATTTTCAACATGTTGAATTATAGGGTGCCTCTATATATAAAGTGCAAAAAAAAAACCTAAAACAAACAAACCAAAACAAAACTAGACAAAACAAAACAAAAAAAAATCAAACCAAAAACAAAAACAAAAACAAAAACAAAACAAAAAACAAAACAAAAAGGAATGGAAGAAAAAACTAAATGAAAAGGAATCAGCGAAATGAAAAGAAATAAAACAAAATTGTTAAAAGGGGCAAAAGCAAATACAAATTAATCAAAATATTAGTTTTATGATAATGACATATTATTTTACTTTCAACAGTGTTGACTTTACCTTGGAATACCAGGTCAACGTCAATAAACATAACCTAGATTTGCTTCATTCATGTAAAATACATCAGACTAACTGATGCGAAGTGATGCCAGGGTCTGAATTCAAAAGGTTTTTGAAAATCAAAGACCACCTTTCTTGATCAGGTCATGTTTTTATACTATATATGAATCAAATGAGGATTGTTCTATAAAGGATCTTCCTTGCTTTATTAATAATTGCAGAATTATATAGGTTCACTGTGTGGTTTCAAAAGAGGAAAATTTGGAAAATAAGCCAATTAGAATAAAAATGTATGTGTCTGGCATGGCCGTGTGTTTCATTAGATCAAAATAAATGAAAACTGCTTGTCAAAACAATCATGTGTTTTGTGAGTTTGGTAATTATTGGCTGAAACAAGTTTCCAGAGATGAAAGTGTGTAACATCTTCCCCATACAGACAGACAGATGGGGGGGGGGGTCGTCAGAAGTCAAGTTATTACAATAGCTCATATAGCCCTTATGGCCAAATTCACTAATAAAATTTGAAACAGTTATATATGAAATCCTTAGATGACAGCATAATTTAATAGGACAACCACATCACCATAATACACAATGATGCACAAAGATTTGTTTTTCAAAATCTTAGTTTCTTATATATATGGTTTAGCACTTTATATACATGATATAAGCATGCTGCTTTAAGGATCGAGTATTGCCTGCAAGAAGAAGCAAACAGCAAAAATTTAAACCTACATACAAGCTGCAGAACCATAGCGCTTAGGATCCTTATTATACTTTTTCGACAATTTGCTGACCAGATCTATAATTGCAAATTGTAAAAAAATATTACAAGGACCAGGAGAGTACAGGCACTTGTTTCTATCCATGGGAAGTTTGACTATCCATATATATAATAGAAGATATTGGTAGTCGACCTTCCCATGGAAAGAAACAAGTGCCTGTGCATGAGAGCTACTGTTTCGCAACTATCTACATACCAGAACACCTATTTATAATTTAGGCTATTAAGGTTCATCATAACAAATGGACAAAAATGGCCGTATTTACACCCCAAAAACTACTCCGAGTACAGACTTACCTGTCCAGTTGGAAAAATTTTAAGGCCTGGAATCCAATAGATATATATAAAAGGTAAATGCATTTTGTGTTTCAGAAAGATATAATCTTTTTTGGATTTTGATGGGCATTTTTTTTCCTTTCTGCAAAAGGTGTAAAAATAAACAAACACCTGAATTGCTTTGATACTGTCCACTCAGTTAAACCCTTTAACTCACCTATAGTTGTGTAGATATCTATTGTTTGTCTATTGTCTATGTCAATCAAGGACAATCAATACTTTTTACCTGAGAGGGAGCATCTCAAAGTTGTATCCGCAGGAATGAAAAAAATGCCCATCAAAATCCAAAAAAGATTTTATCTTTCTGACACTCAAAATGCATTTAACTTTTATATATCTAGTGGATGCCAGGCATTAAAACTTTTCCAACTGCACAGGTTAGTCTGCACTCAGAGCAATTTTTGAGGTGGAAATACAGCCATTTTTGTCCATTTGTTATGATGAACCTTAACACTAACAGTTAAAGCCAATAAAGGGGGAAATCAGATATTGACAGCCACTAATTTTTTGGTGATTTGAGATAGAAAGAAGGAAATCTGTTTTCTGTCGTTACAGTTTTCTTTAATCAATGGTTTTAAAAGATATATCAAATAGTGTGTAATGTAAAGAAATCATGTTGAACACTGACACCAGTATGGGAAATTTTTATGTCTTACAGAACAGAACTAGGACATATTTTTCCTTTTCTATCGTTTCACGGAACTCTTCTGTAGTAACTTGTTTCACTTGAGAAGAATAAATGACATGACAAAGTGAAGCAACAAAAAATAACAGCAAAAGACTTCTAAACGTGTCACACATTGTCTGAATTGGAGGTAAGCGACACCGGCCTTTTTTCTGTGTACTAAGCGGCAAATGGGAAGTCGTCGTTTTCGTCAACACGTGAAAGGGAAGTAATTTTCACTGCATGAGTGTTGTTTCCGGGTACTTGTGTTGTGTGAAGAAACTTCAGAAGTATATTGCATTCATAGGTTTGTAAATTATTTTTTTCTCAATTTTCTCCTGTTTCTGTTACTATTTTAACACAGTTTTCGATGTAAAACCCCTATGATGATATTTAGTCAACATTTTCAGAGTCCTGTGTGTGGTGACAGGGTGTGTAAACAAAAATGGTCAACTAAATTTTTTATTATTATTATTTTTTTACAAATTTGATTATTCAAAATCGTACATGTGTGTGCTATGCGATCCTAAGAAAACTATGCCAAATGTTAATCACTGCTTGGCTGTGATATAAAGGTAGTCTAACTGGTCGAGTCAAGAAGATCTTTTTTGCCTTTGGCTCAGTTGGTTAGAGTGCTGCCTTGAGATCTCAAAATTGAGGGTTTTGAATTCCGCTGGTACCATCCATGCATGTTCAGAGCTGTTTACTTTTACTTATTGTCCATATTTTTTTACTGAATTTAGAGTTAAAACACGCATTACGGTAAGCAGACAAAAATCCAAGGGTTACCTCCAATCCTTAATATAAACATGTTTTTTTCCTCACGAAATTGGTCTAAATTTGAGTTAATTAGGTTGAAAAGCAGAATTGAATAAAATTTTGTTTCTTATTGTAAATAAAAAATATACTTGGATGAAGTTCAAGATCGAACTTTTCAAGACAAGTGTTTGAATAAAATACCAATATAAGTTAAGATTGAAGATTCTCTTGATTTAATTGTTGAAGGTATTTTCTCTTTACCTACATGTAACTGTCCCAAGTGAATAAATTTGTTACATAGATATAAGAAGATGTGGTATGAGTGCCAATGAGACAACTCTCCATCCAAGTCACAATTTGTAAAAGTAAACATGGTTAACCATTATAGGTCAGATACATGTACATGGCAGTTTTATATTTGCACAACAAATTCACACCTACATGTACTCTCTGCTCTTTGGTCAGGTTGTTGTCTCTTTGACACACTCCCTGTTTCCATTCTATATTCTTTTGTGAGTCATGTGAGTACTGGGATAGAATCGTAACCCTGTTAGGAGAGAAGCAGACACAGGGTTATATTATCGGATCTAGCCAGAGATGTACATGTACATAAAGGTCCTTTGTCTCTTGTTTAAACTATTTAGCTTCAGTACTGTCAAAGTCATACATGTACATGTACATGTACCTCCAATCTGATCCATATGGTGATTCCATATCAGAGTTGTTTTTATCACCTTTGGCTCACCAGATGAAACCTAATACAATTTAACATTCTATCATATGAAGGGAATTCCTGCTAGGGTCCTCAGGGATCTGCTTAAAATCAAAAGTCCTAAGCGGTTCAAGGGTGCATTCTTTTAATTTTGACACAGATGTTTTCCCCAAATTATTTTTTAGAATCATAAATCAGTTTTATCTACAATAATTTCATCTTTATGTCCAATTGCCCTTGGCTCAATTCTCAGCAGCTGAATAAATTTTTTTGTCACATCAATTTCTCACTTATTAAAAATGAATGCTAGCTATATAGAATCACTAAATTTGTTATGTAGGATCCTTGCATGTTCTATATCTCTGAAAAACAGGGTTCACCTGACTTTGACCTCATTTTATAGTCCAGTGATCAAGGTTAAAGTTTCCTGGTCAAATTCCATCTCAGATAGTATAAGCAAAATTAGGATAACTAGATTTGATGTATTGAATGATTGTAAGGTGAGTCATTGGCACTCATTGGTCAATGTTACATTTTTCATGGTTTTTTTTTTTAAGCTAAAGAGCAACTATATTTGGTGTATTGAATGATTGTAAATTATTCATGTCTGTCTGGCATGGTTCATCTGACCTTGACCTAATTTTCATAGTTCATTGATTAATGGTTAGTTTTTTGGTTAAGTCTGATTCTAAGACACTTTAAGCAATATGTCAACTATATTTGCTTTATGGAAAGATTAATGCGTGTACCTTGTAATGTTAGTCTGGCTGGGAACATCTCACCTTGACCTCATGTAAATTTAAAAAAAATTGTTTATGTGTCAGATAAATACTTGCTTAGTTTCTTTTGTTACCTATTCTGACATCAGACTTGGACTTCTTTTAAACTGAGTTTTACTGTGCGTATTGTTGTGTGTTTCTTTATTCTACATTGGCTAGAGGTATAGGGGGAGGGTTGAGATCTCACAAAACATGTTTAACCCAGCCACATTTTGCGCCTGTCCCAAGTCAGGAGCCTCTGGCCTTTGTAAGTCTTGTATGTTTTTATGCCCCCGCTGTAGCGGAGGGGGCATTAAGTTTTACCCTTGTCCGTCTGTACGTACGTACATACGTCCCAAAGTTGGTTTCCGTTCTCTTACTTTATTTTGCCTCAACCAAATGTTATGAAACTTATACACAATGCTTATTACCACAAAACACAGACCAAGTTTGAATTTTGGTGGTGACACTATAACCGTTCTAGAGTTATGCCCCTTTACAAATGGAAAAAATTCCTTAATTTTTCTTTTCTGTTCTCTCACTTAAGTTAGCCTCAACCAAATGTTATGAAACTTATACACAATGCTTATTACCACAAAACACAGATCAAGTTTGAATTTTAGTGACGTCACTTTAACTGTTCTATTGTTATGCCCCTTTACAAATGGAAAAATTGCTGAATTTTTTGTTTCCGTTCTATGACTTAAGTTAGCCTCAACCAAATGTTATGACACTTATACACAATGCTTATTACCACAAAATACAGATCAAGTTTGAATTTTGATGATGTCACTTTTACTGTTCTAGAGTTATGCCCCTTTACAAATGGAAAAATTGCTGAATTTTTCGTTTCAGTTGTCCCACTTAAGTTTGCCTCAACCAAATGTTATGAAACTTATAAACAATACTTATTACCACAAAACTCAGATCAAGTACAAATTTGGGTATTGTCACTTTTATCGTTCTTTAGTTATGTCTCTTTATAACTTTATATGATATGCAAGTGGTGGCATCATCTGTGTCCCATGGACACATTCCCCATTTATCTAATTTTAGTTCAGTTATATGTTTTGGAGTTTAGTATGGCGTCCATTTTCACTGAACTAGTACACATTTTAGTTTAGGGGCCAGCTGAGGCTCACCACCGGGTGCGGGATTATCTCGCTGTGTTGAAGACCCATTGGTGGCCTTCGGCTGTTATCTCCTCTTTGGTCGGGTTGTTGTCTCTTTAACATATTCCCCATTTCCATTCTCAATTTTATTGTGTGAAAACTTTTATCTTAATTGTGATTAAGACTCAAGGTCAGTAAAGCAGGTGATACATTACAGCATGTGCTTACTTATTCATGACTGTACTTCTATAACCATGCAAGGCCAGTACTATACCAATTCCTGACCTGGTTCATCATAATGTTAGTTGGGGAACTAGCTGGTTTCTTCATTATGAACTGATGCTAACACAACACAGATTCAAAGTTCTATATATGTTGATTAAATCAGTATTAAGCTATAACAATAATATATAACTATCACATAGGTTCATGAGAAATATACAAAACAACATGTCTACCAACTATCCAATAACTAACGGTCCTTAACTTGTACATGGGTCAACTAATACATGTATATATTGTGTTTTTCAATACTCAATCTCTCATATACTGGTTATATCCCTTGTCAATGCTAGTAAATAATTTGTTTCTGAATGTAACATATAAAATAGATACATAGGCTCAGCACTTTATTGCTTTTACAGACTTCTATACATATCATTCAAACTCATATAGTTGCATGGATTGCATTTTTCATCAACATGCTTGTTTTTAACCAGGCCAGGTCAACAGTTTAAATATTTCAAGTTGAAATAAACCCCAATAGAAAAGATCATATCAAATAATTTGGCAAATATAAATCACATGGATGTTTCCATTCTCTATTCTTTTATTGTATATGTATATAAATAGTTTTGCTCATTGTTGAAGGTCGTACAGTGATCCATAGTTGCTAACCTTCTTACTCATTTGTTCTCTGGTAGAGAGTTGTCTCATTGGCAATCATACAACATTCTTTTGTTGAATCACTGCTCAAGGTTCTAAAATTTTAAAAATAGGGGAAATTTAAAAGGTGAAAAAGGCCCATGGTTGTAAAAATAAGAGGAAATACCCATTTCAGATGCAGATAAATTAACCATAAGATGGAAAGTCTGAGGGATAAATTTCTACCTATACTGTGAAGTGTTATCTCAATTGATTTTTTGAATTGTTATTTTTCTGTTATATCTCTGTGCCCTTTTAACAATCACCTGCCTTAGAATTACACTGTTACATGTACATGTTATTATTATATGAGTATAGACAGATTATACATGTATGATCATATCTAACAGTATACAATCAATAAGTTGTTCATCATCAGATAATTATCACTTAAAATACAAGTACTGATAGGTCACACAAATAAACAAGGCAATCAATAAATAAACAATTGTAGGGAGATGAAGTTACTGACTGTGTAATAATAATGATACATGGAATCATATGATGCAAACAAATAAATCTTTGTTCTATTATGTAGAGAGAGAAATCAAGAAAGTTGTAGAATCAGGGGCTGATCACTCCAATTTTTAAAAGGGGGGGTCCAAATATATGACCCCATTCAAATGCATTGATCATCAAAAAAAAGGGGGGTTCCAACCCCTGGATCCGCCACTGAGAATTTATATGGTTCTATATCATTTAGAGTTATCACATGTCTGCTAGGTGATATACACTTTTGAAAATGTTACCAGAATGCATTTAAGTCTAAGACCCTTAAAAAAAATGATTCAGATGTTTGGGGTTTTCAAGAAATTGTCATAATAATGAAGCAATGTTTGTACCAATAATTTAGATTAAATAGTGTGATGTGGTTGAAATTTAAGCTATTTTTAACACCAATAAGTTTAAGCTTGTCTTATTTCCTTTATTGTACATGTTGTAGTGTTCATTATAGATTTTATCTGAAAAGGAAACTGCAAACTACATGTACATGTACCTTGATATTAAGATATTTTATTTACAAAAAATAAGGAAAAATTTA